TCTAAAAATCAATGGAAAAAAACATCCTCAGGTGAGTATTAACAAAACAAAAAAAAAGGAATAAAGAGAGGATATTTACATTTACTAAGCATGTATCAGTGCCAGGCATTTTTTTATAGAACATTTTATTAAACTTCTGAAAAAATAATTGAAATAAGTATTATTGACTTTATTTTTCACAGGAAGAAATTTGAAGACTAAATAAGCAAAGTGACTTCCCCAAGGTCATACAGCTAAGAAACAAAAGCCAGGTCCACTTGTTTCTGTTTTATTGATTTATTTTCAAAAAATATTTCCTTCACATAATTTCCAGTAGATATTCTTTTCTGTGCTGGATCAGAGTGTATAAACACCATTCATTTAAGAAACTATAAACACCAATCAGAAAGGATATATGTACCCCTATGTTTATAGCAGCACAATTCACCATAGCTAAGATTTGGAAACAGCCTAAGTGCCCATCAGTAGATGAGTGGATTAAAAAACTTTGGTACATCTACACAATGGAATACTACACTGTGGTAAAAAAGAAGGAATTCTTACCATTTGCAGCAGCATGGATGGATCTGGAGAGCATTATGCTAAGTGAAGTAAGCCAGTTAGAGAGAGAGACAAATATCACATGATCTCACTCATTTGTGGAATATAATGAACAACATAAACTAATTAACAAAAACAGATCCAGAGACATAGAAGCATCGATCAGACTGTCAAACCTCAGAGGGAAGGTAGGAGATGGTGGGGATAAGGGGGAAAGATCAATCAAAGGACTTGTATGCATGCTTATAGGCCTAGCTAATGGACACAGACAACGGGGAGGGGGTGAGGGCATGAGTTGGGGTGGTTTGGGAGGTTATGGTGGGATAAGGACACATATGTAATTACCTTGATCAATAAATAAATTATATATGTGTTTTTTTCTTTTGTTGATGAGTGGTCTGCATCAAGATTGCTTGTCTTAGACTACTGTATGCTCCCAGTGATAGGAACCATTGTTCTTATCTGGCATTAAGGGCATAGTGATTAGATATATATGTAATAAAGGCATTGGTTTCTTCATTTCTTCATATAGTATCCCATAAATATGTAACATGCCTTTTTTGGGGGCGGGTGATTTTTGAGGCATCTCAAATCATATCCTATAAGTCACTACAGCTTTTATCTATGAATAAATTTGTTCTGGCTATGGATACGCATTCACATTTGTTGAAACTCCAGATGTGTAGGGATCAGATGATTGATATATCTGAAATTCCAGACTCATCCATAGTCCTACCCAAAATCCTTCACCTATAGGTACATTTTTATTTATTTTACAAGCAATTTTAGCTTCTATTTTGTGAAAGGCACCAAGGTGGGGATTTGGACCTCAGGGGTAAAGACATAGCTTCTGCTCTCTAGAAGCCACATGTTCCTAAGAACTCCTTCTCCTCTAGAGTGGGAAGATTAGCATCATAGAAACAGAGCCTTCTCTTTGATAGCCCCACTTTCAATTCAGACACTACAGAATATTTTCTGTCATCTCAACAAACTTTTAGGTTAAACACTATTTGGTTTGGCCTCTTCTGGCCTTAAGGTATAACCAGGGAACTGAAATATAATTTTCTTGGTATATCAATGGCCCCATTCCATTACTTCCTTATCTATATACTCCTGTTTTTGCTTGTCCCTCATCAACTTGTTGAGTGCGTTTAATGGGGTAGGGATAAATTATATATATCCTCAACAGCAAGCTTTGGTAGCTTAGAAAGGGCAAGGGAAGAGAAGCGATATTCTATAGAACACAGGTCACCTGTAGTCAGCTGCTGATATACATTCTTCCTTCCTAGTAGAGACTAACTTTCTATATATGAGCCAAGATAAGGTAAATTGTATGGAAAGTAAGCCCTCAGGTCCCCTGTATCAACTTTAATCAGAGCAGCTTATATCTTTTAAATATACACTAACCTCTCTCTTAGCTGATCTTGATGTAAATATATCTCTAGATTAAAGACACACTCTTTATTCTCTGTACACAACATTCTGGCCAATGGTCATACCTTGGTGAATATTTATAGCTAGTCAGTTACTCTCTATATGACTACATTGGTCCTGTACTACCAATTCTGTGTTACCTTACTGAGAGTCAGTTGTGTTTTCCGAAGTTGTTTGTGTCAGTTGAACTTGTTTATGATTGGGGACAAAAATTAAAAGCTATCCAAAGAGGTATATGCATTTAGCTTTCTTTGAGTTATCTTTAAGTTCTTGTTTCACCTTAAAGAAACTGAAACTGGAAGTCAAAGATGATTCATTATGGATGAGGTTTATGCAAGAATGATACACAGAACTCAGTCAGTCAATCCATAGTCAAAGAAAGGGTCATGGCCTTACATTAACAAATTAGGTAAGGAATATATGGTTACCTTGAATATGTCAAAATAGAGTATTCTGAAAAGTAGTGGGTAAAGGGTATGTGTGTGTGTTTATTGATTCTGCTATAATTTACTTTAAATCTTAATTAACCAATATCAAATCCTATTGCATTGGCCAAAAAGTTATTCAACATACAGAATCCTATTTAAGATTTTTTAAAGAAGAAGACAAAGGAGGAGGAGAGGAGGAGCAGAAGAAGAAAAAAGAATCTAGTACTTCCAGATTTTTTTCAATGTCCAAATTTTTGTAAAATAAAATAAAAATTTTATGGCAGTATGAAATTGCTCCATGCTTCTAAATGTTCATCTCAATTTCCTTTTTTTAAATTTTATTTTCAATTACAGTGTACCTTAAGTATTATTTTGCATTAGTTTCAGATGTACATTCCAGTGATTAGACATTTATATAACTTACAAATTGATCATCCCAATAACATCCCAATAAAACTAGTACCCATCTGACACTATACACAGTTATTACAATATTATTTATTTACTACATTCCTTATGCTGTACTTTATATCCCCGTGATTATTTTGTAACTACCAATTTGTACTTTTTAATCTCTTCATCTTTTTCACCTAGCCTTCCAACACCCCTCCCCTCTGGTAACCATAAGTCTGTATTCTGTATCTATGAATCTGAATCTGTTTTGTTTATTTGTTTATTTTGTTCTTTAGGTCCCACATATAACTGAAATCACATGGTATTTGTCTTACTCTGTCTGACTTATTTGACAGTATAATACCGTCTTTGTGCATTCATGCTGTCTCAAATGGTAAGCTTTTAATCTCAATTTCTAAACTTATTTCACCTCAGTCTCTGTTGATCAGTAACAGATAGTTTTTTGATTAGCATGGCTCTGCAAACTATACTTTGAATAGCACTGACTAGACTATTGTGGTGCCCGAGTAACCCCAAAATCATTAACTCAGCCCTGAAGGTGTCATGGAATAAAGGTGCTAGGTTCATTCAACTTATCCCATTATAATAAAAATTAATCCAATGGGATATATTTTAGCAGTACCAAGTACATGACAAGCCTGAGGTTTCATCCATGATCAAATATTAGGATATTACACAGATACAGCATAAAAAGGCCAAGATATCCTATCTTAGCTCCCATACCCACACAAAAATCCTTATGTGTCTCAAGCTCTCAAATTCTTGTGTAACTTTCTTTTGATATATCTTGGACTCTTGGCACCTACCTAGTGTGGCACTTTCACAGATTTCTGTCTTAGAATGTTTTAACCTCAAACATGTTTCATATTGTCAATGGAATAGCTAGGGGGCAAAAGTTAGCATACTGTTTCATGGATTGTTTCAATGACATTAAAACTCAGAGAGATTAGTTGATTCATCAATTATTACTCAACAAGTTAGAAGAAGATAAACAAAAACTAAACTTTCTGTTTTGAAAGATGGCAACTTTTAAAATTCAATTTGGCTTACTGAGCACCTTCTCTGTTCCAGGCATTATACCAGGCTAGGGCTGCATCTTGGTTAACATCAATGAATATTCTGATAATTATAATTCATTGTTATAGGTGATGCAATAGCAACATAAAGTGCTACAGGAACCTAGAGGAGAGAAGAGAATGATTACAAAAGAATTCACAGAGAATGTAAGAAGAGAAAGTGTAACAGGTATTGCAGGGAGAAGATGTAACATACACAAAGGCAAGAGTCTTGCAAGTTCATAGACAGCTCAAAAAACTTCAGTGTTCAATGTATCTGGAACGTGGAGAGTTCTAAGGGTGGTGGGGAAAGTGGACAATGGTTCATACTTCTGGAAATGTGTTCAGTTCAGGTGGTAGAGGATTTTAAATGCTGAAAAAAAATTTACTTTGATGGAGAGCCTCTGTAGGGCACAGAACAGACCAAATGACATGATTGTTTTTGCCGTTGTTTTTCTTCTGCTAGTATATCTTTTACCTTGCTTAGTACATGAAAGTGATATATTATTTACCTCATAGTGTTATTGTGAAAATCAAGTTATTGTTTGGAAGGAACTTTAACAGGGTATTATCTGTAAGATATTTTGAGCTATTATCATCAATTCTTTCCTTCCTACCTTTGTTCCTCTCCCCTTTCTTTCCTTCCTTCCTTCCTTCCTTCCTTCCTTCCTTCCTTCCTTCCTTCCTTCCTTCCTCCCTTCCTTCCTTCCTTCTTTCATTCCTTTTTTCCTCCCATCAATGATCTAACATGTAAGGTTTAGTAGAGATGTAAAGGAAGAACACCCCAAAATTAGAGAAAAACTATTAAGTACTGACTATATAACCATTACCTTATTTAGAGAAAACTCTGCATGTAAGTGGTGAAGAACTGTGGAATAAAAGAACATTTTTGTTTGTTTATGTGTTTGTGGAGAGACAAGTCTAATCTGTAGTCTTAGACCTGGATTGGGAGCAAGAAACGGATGGGTAAAAACGTCCAGGGTAAAAACTTTCCCAGTAGCCTGAGGCTTTGGATCTTCTATGTGCTCAGTGAAGTCTAAAAAGTTGATACAGGTGTCTTTAATGTCAAAAATATGTTTTTCTGCTGAATAGTTTCCTCAGTGCTCCTTTCATGTCCTTGTTTCTTAAACTATAGATGAAGGGGTTCATCATGGGAGTTACAATCGTATACATGATGGCAGCCACCTTATCCCTTTCTGGTGAGTAGTGAGAAAAGGGGAGAAAGTAGACCGCAATGATGGACCCATAGAAGAGGGACACAGCTGAGAGATGGGAGCTACAAGTAGAGAATGTTTTCCACTTCCCCTTGGCTGAAGGAACCCGAAGAACAGTACAACCAATAAGGGCATAGGAGACAATAATAAAGGCGAAGGGTATAAAGATTACTGCTCCACCAGTGACTAAGATTGTCAAGTCGTTAATTTGGGTGTCTGAGCAAGCAAGCTTTAAAATGGGTTCCAGGTCACAGAAGAAGTGTGGGATTTCTCTCTTATCACAGAAAGTCAAGAGGTTCAGCAAACTGAGATGCAGTGTTGAGACAAGAATGGAGATGACCCACGGGGTCACTACCAACAGGGTACAATGCTTGGGACTCAGTAATGCAGCATAATGTAGTGGATGACAGATAGCAATGTACCTGTCATATGCCATGGCTGCCAAGAGGAAATTGTCCAGGTCCACCAGCAACATAAAAAAGTACATTTGTGAAAGGCATCCTGAAAAGGAGATGGTTGAGCTCTGGCTTTGGATGTCTACCAACATTTTGGGGATTGTCGTGTTTGTGAAGCAGA